CTGCTGCCAGCTGGGAAATGCAAATGGAAGGCCAGTGCTGTCCTGGGAAAGAACCAGACAAAAAGTGTCACTTGGAGCTGCTGCAAATGGAAACTCCCCTGGTTTTTTCCTTTTCCTTTTCCTTTTTTCTTTCTTTTTTTTTTTTTTCTTGAGAAGTTTCAGTCTAAGTGATACATTAATACACCCTACATATAAACCTGGAAAGCTATTGTAGCAGCAATGTTATCTGCTTTATCTGCTTGCTCAGGTACAGGACACAAGAAAACTGAAGTGTGATCCCTAGGATTTAAATCACAGAATCACAGAATGGCCAGGGTTGGAAGGGACCTCAAGGATCAGGAATCTCCAACCCCCTGCCACGTGCAGGGCCACCAACCTCCACATTCAATACCAGACCAGGCTGCCCAGGGCCCCATCCAACCTGCCCTTGAACACCTCCAGGGACGGGGCATCCACAACATCTCTGGGCAGCTGTTCCAGCACCTCACCACTCTCTCTGTAAAGAATTTCCCCCTGACATCCAACCTAAATCTTCCCTCCCTCAACTTAAAACCATTTCCCCTTGTCCTGCTGTTATCTACCCTTTCCAAGAGTTGATTCCCTTCCTGTTTGTAGGCTCCCTTTAGGTACTGAAAGGCTGCCATGAGGTCACCCCGCAGCCTTCTTTTCTCCATGCTGAACAAGCCCAGCTCCCTCAGCCTGTCCTCATAGGGGAGGTGCTCCAGTCCCCTGATCATCTTCGTGGCTCTCCTCTGGACCCTCTCCAACAGCTCCCTGTCTTTCTTGTACTGCTGGCTCATGTTCAGTTTTTCATCCATCAGGATGATTACACTGCCAAAGTGTTTTGTTTGACACTGCCCGTAACTTTCAGCAGCTTTAACAATTTCACCTTAAACTCATCAATGCAAATGGGATGTTTGACAGCTGGTTTCTAGCTGTTTTCTTTGGCCACTGGACAGGGGAGAGCAGCTCTGCAGGACTTCCCAGCCCAGTGTGTGGGCAGATGGCTCTGCAGGCCCATGGGCAGTGTTACTTTCTGGACAGGGGTGGATCAGAGCTCTGGGCAGATCGAAGCATAGCACAGCTGATAAATGAAAGGGAGGCTTTGGCAGAGCTCCTGGGCTGTGAGCGTCCTGTCTGGAGCCATCAACTGCATCCTGCCAGGTCAGGCATGGTGTGCAGGTGACAGTGCTAATTGTGGGCCTCACTCAAGGATGCAGGAGGATGGCCACCCTTCTCTTAGGAGTCCACAAACGGCCATTCAGCATTTATCCTTTGCTGTTATACCTTGCTGAAAGGCTTGTTTCCATCAGAATGCTCCCAGTAGGTGCAAAATAAGGGCTTTATTTAAAGGAAATAGTTGCTCATATCTAACGAAACAAGTGGTAGCAGTGTTATTTTTGTATGTGTGTGACTAACAAATGCTATCTTGGGCCAAAGCTGTGGGCTCTGCTGTTACAGTGGTGTTTTCTGGAGGCTCTTCTATGCAACATGTGACGTGGGTGAGATCCAAGCTGGAGCTGTGCAAATGCAGGCATAGAACTGAATGTTGGACCATTGCTGCAGGCAACCCTGTGGTAGGGAAAGGGCAACTGGAAATTGCCCCATTTTGATCAAACATAAAACTGGTGCTATTTAGAGTTGTTTCGGTCTCACAAATAGATGTTGAATATGAGTAAAGATACTCAGTGATCCTTATGGGTTCCTTCCAGCTGGGAATACTCTGTGATTCTTTGATAAAACTGTACTAGGGCAATCAACAGAAAATACAGGACAAAGCCTTCTGTTGGCCAGTGATACAATAACTAATCCAGAATTTTCCCTTCTTCTTTATTTTCCTGTCTAGAACTCTTTTATTAATCTAATGGGAAAAAAAAGAAGAGCTATTTAGTTTGCCGACATGAAAATACCACACTTGATTACGCATTTCATTGTCTGATAAAAGCAACATTAGCATTAGAGATAATTACGTGCCATAACAGTTCATCTCATTATCAGCAGCAGCTGAGTTTGCAGGCAGCTTCAAAGACTCTTTTTTCTCAGAAATCCTCATCTGTGCTGAATTTTTCAGCCTTGTTACAGAGAAGTCTAGAAACGGTGGCTGCTTTTTAATGCTACATTGTCTAACATGGGATATAAGCTGTGTCTTGTCTCCTTGATCCCTTTCTTCTGTAGTAGACCAGCACAGTGACTGCACGCACACATACCCGTATATTTACATCTATTCCATCTGTTTAGATGGCAGTTCAATAGGATTCTGTTAACACAGAGTTCTGTTACTCCTGAAGTGATTTTCTCCTGGGGGTGTGTTGGAGATTTTCCATCTTTAATGTCACAGACTTTTATAAAATTCTTTATAAGGTTTTGGATCAGGCTGGATGTGGCTCTGGGCAGCCTGGTCTGCTGGTTGGTGACCCTGCACGTAGCAAGGGGTTGAAACAAGATGAGCATTGTGGTCCTTTTCAACCCAGGCCATTCTGTGATTCCATGATTCTTTGATTCTATGATTCAGACACTGAGCTTTTGTTTTAATTATCATAAAATTACAGTTGTTTCCTTCAACCTCAGCAGTACAGAAACGTGAATAAAATAGGTACCACAATAACGCTACGAGGTGAGCTTTTAAATAGCAAACATTGAAAAGGCTAACACATAATTTAATCCAATACCTTCCAAAACAATGATGATTTTCTCTCCACCTCTTGTGTGGAAATAGTCACAGAAAAAGTGAAGTTGAAGTGTGTCAGGGTGTGCCTTGCTTTGAGTTCTTCTGTGTTAAGAGCCCAGGGGGCAGAGACTGTTCTAGGGATCAAAGTGCTCCCAATGAAGCTTCTGGACAGACACTCATCATCTATTAAAACTCATGCCAAGTTTCCCAAGAGGAGGCTCCCCATCACGGGCTGTTCTTATAAAATGGAAGGCATGCTGTCTGCGAGGAACTTTACTGCCTGTGCCATCACACATTTACAGTAGTGTTCATGGGATGTGAGTGATGTTACTTCCGTGGTCTCCTTTCATCCACATCTTCCTGTGTCCTCTGGCTGTTCTCTCCACTTGTATGGCAGCCCTGTCAGCTTCCCTTATGCCTGGTAATAACACTTTTGGCAAAGATTGTTAATCCTGGAAATTGTTTGTAGACTTGCTGATACATTAGCACGCAGTGAACACTTTCCAGCAGTAAGAATTTAAGATCTAATGGTGTTTTTCTCCCTCTTAGTGGTTTTATATTTGCATCAATTACAGCTGCCATCCACCTCAAACCCCAGTCTGAGTGCTCAGGAAACATTTGTACACCCATAAAAACTCAGAAGATCAGAGCATCTTCCCCAAACTATTCATCTCTATCTGCAAGCAAAAACAATCCTTTTAGTCCTTCAGCAAATGGCACATGCTCCAATCTCACTAAAATCAGCAGTGCTGAGGGCATCCCAAACAATGGGGCCACTCTCCTTGCTCCTCCCTGTGGAAACACCCATCTCCATTGCATTTCTGATAACTGCTGCTTTGTTGGCAGAGCTCTAACGAAACACATATCCTCAGTGGGCAACTGCAATTCCAAAAGACAGCTCTGTGATCAGCAGTTACTGCTCAGCTTTATCATTTACATTCCTAAAATACAAAGTATTCTCTATAAATGCTGTTTGTGAGGCAGAATGGGGACACCGAGAGGTAATGAACACCCTTTGAGGTCAGTGCAAGACAGGATGTAAACCTTCCCAAGGGTTCATTCAACCAGTGCTCGTGGTTCTGCAGACATTTGGTTGCAGAAGTGCTGGAGTACCAAGGGAGTTGTACTAATACCCTTTGGCCTGGGTTGTGAGTGAGGACCAGTGGAGGCTGTGTTTGCATCATTGCAAAGCCTTGGAACAGAGGTGTGCAGAAATCTCTGGTAGAACTATGAAAGCTCACACTGAGAAGGCAAACTGAATTTGCCTTGGAGATGCCTTATCATGTTTTGAAGTTTTGTTTGGATGGCTTGGAGTTTCCTGCTTATTAGAAGCTACCTGTCTGCTCCTTTTTGATGGACTGGAGTCCCCTGTGGATTCACTGGTTATCCACACAGACCTTTGGGAGCACAAAAAGTGAACCCAACTCAGAGGCCACACAGGCGCCCATAGCCCACTTCAAAATCTGAAGCTCTGTCCGGCTCCAGTTTTTACGCCTTTAAATCCGCTCTGATTTATGCTGGTATAAAAGAATCTTCCTTTGTTTGCTGACAAACACATAAATGTCATAGGAAACACAGATGTTGTAATGAATTTTCTAATTGGATGTGAGTGCTTGTTCTTAAATGGATAATAAATACAGCTTAAATGATCTGTTTGATCACAGCTCAGAACTGCCCTAAGAACACAACCTAAAATACAGCTGGGGTAGATATGTGTGTCAAACAGAAGCAGGATGCTCACAAGACAAATGATCTGCTGCTGATACTGATTCTTAGCACAAGAGAAAAATAATCTTTCCCCTCCAAGGTTGCTGAAAACAAATCTAGATTGCAGGAAAGCATTGCTGGGAGCCCTACAGAACGTGGGCTGAAGCTCACAGGATATACCCCTTGTTTCTTTTTGCCTCTCCTCCTAATTTTGTTCTAGCTGCTAGCTGAGACAGAATCATCAAAATGAAGCAAAAGTATGCGTTCAAGCTCTTGAGCCATTTACCATGAGATAGAGGTAATCCTGAGATTCACAGAAGCATTAAAATAGCAACAAGAAAGTGACACCAGTGCTGAGGATCGCTTTAGAAGTAAGGAAGCAGATGGGAGGCCAGTAGAACAGAAACGTAGAGCTGTCTCATCTTGCAAATACACCTCCCTGGACAATGGCTCAGACAGTTCAAGCAGCCAAACAATTCACAGAGTTTTAATCCCCTATTATAACTAAGGGTGAGATATATGCTTTTAGCCTGGGAAAGGTGATAAAAATATATATAGGTTTACTGTAAAGATGAGATTTCTGCCTGCTTCTCTTCTGATCGTTAGTAATTATTCTTTTTTACAGCCTCTGGCCTCTCCTCTTCTCCATCTACCCCAACACAAGTGACCAAGCAGTCCACGTTTCCTCTTGAATCCTATAAGCATGAGCCTGAGAGACTAGAAACACGGATTCACTGTTCTTCTCCTCCGGACACAGGGCAGAGATTTTCTTTGCCTCCATCCCAAAGTGCAGCCAAGCCTCCTATAATGACACCATCTCTCTGTGCTACCTCAAAACCAGTAAGTAGAGCTTGTGTCCACTTCTCCACCGGGAAATGTACAGTGGTGTGTGTAAAATTGTTTCTCATACTACAAGCTAGGACTGGTGCGTCCATCCTGTGGAATGGAATGAGAACAATTTCATGTGCCTTACACCCCAGGCTTGTGTCAGCTCTCAGCGTTCAGCTGGCAAGGCATTAGGAATCCAGAGGTGGGAGCTCTTCTTGTGAGTTAACCAAATAGCAATCAGTTCTTGCATTGAGCTCAACTGAGCTTTGCAGTGGCTGCACAGTTCTGCACGCATTGCTGAGATGCCGCTTTAGAGAAGGATACAGTTTTATTTAGGATTGTCTTTTATATCCCTTGAAAGGAGCAGATGAGAAGGCTAGCAGCCAAGGAGAGCAGATCAAAAAGAAATTCACAGCGTGAGCTGCAGGGTTTTGAGTTCCTGCTGCCTCAGAAGTCTGAGATCAATGGGACAACTGCAGTCTAATGGCACTGGTTGCTGTGACTCTGTCTGCCCCAGCTCACAGTACAGAAGGGTGGAACTACCCGGGTATTTAAGCAGACCCCAGGTAGTAGCAGCGTCTTTGTAGGAGTGGTTTCTTTAGCTCCTGGGAATGCAGGAACTCAGCAGTTCCAGGAAAACGTGAATTCTAACCTCTGATATTCTCCTCTGCAACATCTGCACTGCATGTCTTTGTCCTGGACTTGAGCAAGGCCTTTGACATGGTCCCCCACCACATCCTTATCTCCAAATTGGAGGGATGTGGATTTGATGGGACCACTCGATGGATAAGAAACTGGTTGAAAGGCCGCATTCAGAGGATGGTCATCAATGGCTCTGTGTCCAGGTGGAGGCCAGAGAGAGGTGTCCCCCAGGGGTCTGTCTTGGGACCGGTGCTCTTTAACATCTTTATCAATGACATCGATGATGGAATCGAGTGAACCCTCAGCATATTTGCTGATGACACAAAGCTGAGCGGTGCGGTCGACACGGTGGAAGGAAGGGATGCCATTCAGAAGGACCTTGAGAGGCTAGAAAGGTGGGCCTGGGTGAACTTGGAGATTCATGATCCTTGAGGTCCTTTCCAGCCCTGGCCATTCTGTGATTCTGTGATTCTGTCTTCCCTCCCCTCCTCTGGCGAGCCTCAGCCTCACAGTAACCACTGTTCTCTTCTGTGCTCTTCTGCCTTCTGGATACGCTAAGCCAGCAGTCCCACATTTCCTCCTTTGAGTCCTGCACCTCCACAGGAATGGCTGCAGCCATTACACTGTGTGTGTCTGGGTGCTGTGACCATTTGGTCTTATAAATAATAGACATTTTCACTCATTGCTCATTATGGCTTGTTGTATCCAAAGCCAGCTTTGCTGTTCTAGACTAAGGAAGCCAGGCTCCTTTCAAAATAAACACCTTCCTATTCTGCCACTAGGCGAAAGTAAAGAATTAAAAATACTGAATAATACCAATCTTACACTCATAGTTAGGAACTCCAGCAGTAACCTTCCTCCAGACCATTCGCTGCCTTTCCATGTAAGGAGCAGGCTTGGATGCACAAGTTATGAAATTCAGGGGCTTGCAGGACACAGGAATGTTTGTGGTAGGCTTCAGTCTGTTGGTCATATCCTTGGCGTGTGAATGTGGTTTCTATTCAGCTGCTACCCAGGGGTCTGTTGTATCTGCTGGAACAGCGACTGAAACACAGATCTAATTTTTTATTTGTTTTTAATGATTTGCTGCTTGGGACAATAAAGAAACAGAATTCTTGGCAAGTATTTATCAGCTGTAGTGGTTCTGTGCCTGCACAAGATAGTCTGGATGGAAACTCAATATATTGTACTCAATTATCTCCTATTCAACAGATGCAGAAAAACATATATAAGACACATAGGATGTACAACACCTGACTTTCTTTGTTCTGTATACTTTGCTTTTGTACTCTTTGTTTTATATCTATCTCATTTATAAGAGTGAGTGCACAGGGTGGCAGTGAATCATTAGGTTTTCATTTCACTAAGTTATTTCCCTTACAAATGTGACAACACCCTGAATACTGCATTTTAGACATTTCAGTTATTCTGAGTCATGGGTTAAATATTTGTTTTCCCAGTGAAGATGTCATAAACAGATCGAGGTCCATTTCTTGCTTACTTAGATAGCTCTTTCTTGGCATAATGATTCCAAAAATTTTAAAAGCATTATAAATTATAGGATGAGTGGTTTCACAGTGGGCACTGTGAGATGTTCACTTTAATGACAGAGCAGCTCTTATGTTAACAATTGAAAGGAGAGGTTGACTCTTATCTACAAGGGCTCTGTCAACTCAAATCTCATTACATTGTTTAATTAGTGATGATAATGTGTGTGATCCTAAAACTATTATCAATGATTCATGACTGTGGAATATACTGCAACAGCAAAGAGGAACTCTTGGAGCCAGAGCTGGAAGTACTGCTGAAAAAAACCCAACAAATGAGCCAATGGATGAGTATAGGAATGTGTAGCACCAGGGCTTGGAACTCAGCCCATTTTTACATCCACCTGCATTTGAAGCTGATTGTGTACTTGCTTTTTATACGCTTGAGGCTGTGGCACAGAACGGTAGAATCTGCTAAAAAACAGAGAAGAATAAAGATATTTGTTTCCCAGCAGATGTAACCATCACTTTTGTGTTTTGGTAGCACTCAGTGTGTATCTTGCTGTGATTTTTAACCCTTTTATTCAGATAAGGGGAATAAAAAGCAGGAGACAGGCCCTGGCAGAGGGAGACACTGCTTCCACAAGGAGCATCTCAATGCACTGTGTGTACCTCAGCAGATAACACCATGCTAATGGGTGCCTGCAGTAATCACTCAGGCCTGGATTTATCCTGCCTAACTTTAGAAACCTATCTGAGCTGCTTACGTTGGTTGCCTCTGTATCTCAGAGAGGATAAATGGGTTCTTCAGAGGATTGGTCAGCACTCTGCCTCGCTCACAACTGCGGGACTCCGGGTGCCGCATTTCTGACCACGGTGTTTCTGCTGGGTGCCCAAAGCAGATGTGTGAGGCTGGGTCAGGCCATGGCAGCAGCTCTCGTGGGTGTCCAATGGCTGCGGAGGTATTCCTGGTGGTTGAGTTAGGAGCTCAGAATGAGAAATCAGCTGATAAGAGATCAAAGCTACTCCAGAAGATTAGTGTGCCCCACATGAAATAGGGAAGGAGTGACTCGATTTTTTGCTGCACAGTTCATGACTTTGTACTTCGGCCTTGTGTTGTTTGGACTGTGTAACCTTCAGGCTGTTAAGTGGTGAATGATAACTCCCCTCTGAAGCAACATTACTAACCATGAAAGGAATGCAGAGAGGTTGCAAATTCAGTAACCAACATGTTCTCCCTGTTTCCGCTTTGCCCTGTTTTGAAGAGGAATGCAGTGTGTTGAGCTCAGTGTGCTTGCATCCTTCTCACTTTGTCCTTTCTTCTTCCACTGACACGTAAGGCACCATGAAAATAGCAGTATTCTGCCTCCTGCAAACACGTGCATTTTTGTGGTACATCATTTCCTGGCCTTCATGAGTTTCCTCTTTCTCTGCATGAGGAGTCATACTTACAGAAGCAGAACATACTTACAAACAACCTCTTCTACCTGGTGAACCACTGCTCTCTAACAGGAGCCTAATAATTTCCCAGCAATTTCTTACAAAGAGAGCATCTCATGCAGAAGACAGTCTGACACATACACTGAGCTTGTGTCAGCACATCCTCCTCAAGCCACACGTGTAGGACACAGGAGAAACTGGAAGATACAGTTGGCATCCATTTTACACAGTCAGTGTTACTCAGCTCCTGGAACAGAAGTACAGTCTGCAGCCAGGCCTCTCCCTTCCAGTGGCAGAAACACAGAGGTAAAGAGAAAATGGTTTCTGCAGCTACCTGCTTGTTCAGCAGCAGCATTTCCCTGTGAGGCTATTCGTGCTGTTTCTCAGCCAGAATGTAGTAAACTCAAAAACAGGGCTGTTAACTTGTTTGGCGTGAAAGACTCTTACATCACACCCTGCTGCTGGCAGGCAGCCTGGGAACCAGGATATGTGCAGCAGGTCCTCCCATCTGGCTCTCTCCAAAAAGCCATGGCACCTATCAGAGCGCCGTGATCAGCCTGGCTGATAAAAGAGATTTAAATCTGATGAAGAGAACTGAAAATGCTCTTTGATTCTGATGTTGTCTTAAAAAAAAAAACACAACAAAACAAAACAAAACAAACAAAAAAAACCAACAAAAACCACAGGCTGGGAGAAATGGAATCCAGTCTGCAAATGTGCAAGAACTCTTTATTTCAGCATTCGTGTGGTTTAAGGAAGTAAATGAGTGCCAAGGCATTACTCTGATTCAGCTTTGATTTATACCACAGTAAACTGATCACGGAACCCAGAGCCAGCAAGGCTGTCATTTACCAGTGAGAAAGCTCTGGCAGTGTTGCTGTGTCCAGACTAGTTCTAAGTGCTTTAATACCAGCACTCCTTCTGGGAGATGTTCTCTAATAGATCCTCTGGGCTCCAACAAGCCAGCTGGGTTGCAACATTCTCCCTAATGCAGCTGCTGCTGTCCGTGTAAAAGTGCATTTAATGTAAAAATGGAAAATACTTGTCCAGCAGTTGGTATGTGATTAGTTGCAAACCTAGTAAATCAACAGCTTTGTGATTATGTATCATTCAATCACTTAACAGTTACACACCATATTAATAGAAAAAATGTCCTGAGCCCACCTGATTTGTTTTATCTGCTTTGACAGAGTGTCAGGATGGCTCCACTGAGCAGACTTCACATCATTGAAAGTCCATAGTAAGATTCAGTGGGAAGTAAAACCTAAATGAGCAAGTAAACTTGCTTGGAAATGAAGAGACCCATTCTACTAATATTCTGTTCTGTCCCTTTACCTCCTCCCTATTAGTCTTATTCTTTTACCACATTTGGCATTTTTATTCCTATTTAAAATACGCAACAGGCACCTTGCTAATAATTTTATATTGGTTAATTTGCCTTTT